ATCACATCATGTTAAAAACCTTCTTTACAGGAAAGGAAACAATCAACAAAGTGAAGAGACAACGCACAGAATGGGAGAAAAATATGTGCAAACTATCCATCTGACAAGAGGTTAATAACCAGAATACATAAGGAGTTCAAACAGCTGCTTATATACAGGATAAAACCTAATAATCTAATTTTTAAACCATGCAAAAGATCTGAATAGACATTTCTCAAAAGAAGGCATACAAATAACAAAAAGGCATAAGAAAAGGTTCTCAGTATCATTGATCCTCAGAGAAATGCAAATCAAAACTATAATGAAACATCATTTCACTCCAGTTAAAATGGCTTTTATCCAAGAGACAGGCAGTAACAAATGCTGGTGAGGATATGGAGAAAAGGGAACCCTTGTACACTTTTGGTGTGAATGTAAATTAGTACAACCACTATGGAGAACAGTTTGGAGGTTCCACAGAAAACTAAATGTAGAGCTACCATATGATCCAGCAATTCTACTGCTAGGTATATGCCCAAAAGAAAAGAAATAATTATATCAAAGAGATATCTATATTCCCATGTTTACTGTAGCACTATTCACAGCAGCCAAGATTTGGGAGCACCCTAAGTATCCATCAGCAGATGAATGGATAAAGAAACTGTGGTACTTGTACACAACAGAATACTATTCATCCATAAAACAAAATGAGATCCTGTCATTTGCAACAACGTAGATGGAACTGGAGGTCACTGTGTTATGTGAAATAAGCCAGGCACAGAAAGACAAACTTTGCATGCTCTTATTTATTTGTGGGAGCTATAAATTAAAATGAACTCATGGAGATAGAGATGAAATGATGGTTACCAGACGCTGGGGTGGAGGATAAGCAGAAATGAAGACGGTTAATGGGTACAAAAAATAATTAGAATGAGTAAGATCTAGTATTTAATATGCACAACAGGGTGACTACAGTCAACAATTTTTTTTGTACATTTAAAAATAACTAAAAGAGTAGAACTGGATTGTTTGTAACACAAAGAAAGGACAAATGCTTGAGGTGATGGATACTCCATTTATCCTGATGTATTATACATTGCATGCCTGTATCAAAATTCTCATGTACCCCATAAATATATACACCTGCTACGTACCCACAAAAATTAAAAATAAAAATAAAAAATAAATGTGGTGAGACAAACAAACTAAGTAACTCTCTGCTAATATACAGCAAATTATTTTTAGATGCACACTGATCACTTAGAAGTCTTTGGGTTATATGTTAAAATTGTTTTCAATTTTCCAAATAGGAGTTAGTATTAATTACTTCATTGCATGAGTTCTTTACATACTGATTATATTAATTCTTTGTCAAAGTTTTTATTGATCTATCTTCCACAATTTTTTCATTACTTTTCTGTTTAGAAAGTCCTATATTCAAAAATCATCAATTATTAACTTTCATGATTTCTTTTCTTTTTAAAATTATTTATTTTTATATTTCATTCACTGTAATTCAAAATGCTAAACAAGGCCACTCTGTTTCAGATGTACTAAGTGGCCGTTTGAGAGACAAACAAGTTCTATGTACTTGTATGATTTTTCATGAATGGAAAGAAGAGACTGCTTTAAATTCTGAAAACACATGTGTAGGAGGAAGGGAAAAAAAGGGGAAAAAAACCTATGACTTTGTTAAAATAAAAGGTTAGATAGCAAAAATAATTCAGCACAAACTCTGGATCATTTAGTCCTAGCAGTCTTATACTGTGAGGAGTTTTAGAACTTAACTCCATACTCACAAAGTAGAAGCCAGATTTTTTTTCAGACCAAGCAACTAGTTAGAGGTAGAAACAAAACCTTTGGCTTCAAAATAATCCCAGAAATACTCTTCTCACCAAGCAAGTCTTATAGCATCTGATGTGTAAAAACTTTTTTTTTTAAAGTAAAAATGATTAATTTCTTAACTTCACTGAAATGTTTTAAGGATAAGAAAAAACAAAATATAATTTAAAATAGGGGTAGTAAAAATTTTATGTTGTTTCTATTTCTGTTCAGTATACTCTCTTGAGTTATTTTTACAAGAAGTTTTTTAAGAATGAGATTTAAATTTATGAAAAATCAACACTACTATAAGATGACTTGCTGAAATCTGTGAAGGTAGCCTGTTTTCTTTTTTTTTTTTTTTTGCCTGTTAGTATATATTTCAATACCATTTATTGTTAAGCAGGAAAAATTAGTATTAGTGACTTATATTAACTCAATAATAAACACATTCTTTTTTAAGGAAACATCTCAAAAACCTACTCCAACTTCCTTCTGACTCCCAAAATGTAAGACCCTTCCTTTGTACCTAGATTCAAGTCTCTAAAATTGCTCTAAAATCACCAGGGTCATCAGAGGATGCTTTCCTCTACAGATCTTCCATGCTCATGTCTCTGAGCCCAAATTATTGAAGGAAGTCATTATTTTCTCTCTCTTTCTAAAAAAAACACCCGTACTACTAGTACTAACCTCCTGCATAGTTACTTATGGGGGCATATAGCAACGCTTTAGAAATAAAACTACAAAAAGTAAGCTTGCCCTCTTGCGTTTCCTTTCTCTTACGACATTTAACGTGGGAGGTTTTCTATGTCTCACATTCAAATATTCTCACCCGGGCTACCTAATTTTTCCCTCTGATTTTTCATCACTCTTTATGAAGGCTTGCTACTTTAGAATATACATTTTCTTAGCCGAAGGTAATAATCAGACGACGTCCCCCAAATATAAGTCCAAATCTTTCCTTTAATGCTGTGTTCTTTGGCTCTTGGGACTTTATTTGAAATCAGCCTAGATGGGGATAGAGACAGGCTGTATGAAGTCCACGCTGAGAAGTTTTGCCCTGCCCTACGTGTCCCGTAGTATTTCATGGATAGCCCAGTGGTGATTAAACCTCTATGTGCACAGGAATAACCATCAGAATTTGTTAAAATACAGACTGTGGGCCCTTACCCCGGATTTCAGGATTCCATGGCTAAGGCATGCTTTTGAATGATTGTGATACTGGCAGTTCACTGACTACATGTGATACAGTGATTACAAAAATGGCTACAATTCTCCACCTCTCCCTCTATCCATAACCATTGCATGTGACTTTGCTGTTCCTCTAAGAGGTGGAGACTATCTCCTTATCCCATGAATCTGAGCTAGTCTTGTTACCTGCTTCAGTAACTGTATACAGAATACAGTGGAACTGACACTGTGTCAGCATAAGACTTGTTGATTTCTGCACTCTCCTGTAAACCTTATGCTGTGGCCTGGTGAATGAGCCCAGGCTAGCCTGCCGGATGAGGAATGAGGCGTGGCATACCACCAGCATCAGTCAGGCAGGCATGTAGAGGAAGCCACCCTAGAGCAGCCAGACCCCAGCAGACCACTGCAGACACCTTAGCTTGCTAGCCAAAATCGGCTAAGCCTGGCCCAGCTGCTTCATATACTCACAAGCAAGAATAAATGTTTACTGTTTAAATCCATGAGTCTCAGGGTGATTCTTTACACAGTGATAGATTACTGATATATCATCACAGTTCTGAAACTCTTCACCTGAGAAACACAGATTTATGCCTTCCTCTCCACTTCCCCTGCCACCTTCATAATTTAGGCTTTCCTTTCTTGTTCAGGTTACTGCAATATAGTCTTCCAACTTGTCTCCCTGCTTGTTGTCATTCCCCACCTCCACGCACACTGTTGCTGCTAAGACTGTATTTCCTAAAGTCAGAAATTTTATTGTTATAATTTATGTACTCTCATCATCTAGCATAATGCTTGGTACCCGACGGGTGCTCAATCTTGTTTGCAGAATGATTGCTACTACCAGATTCTTATAACAGAGCTCTGACCACATCAGTCTCCATGCAGACCTCTATTGGCATTTATATCACATACTAAATCCACTTTCCATTTGGCCTATTTAATTCTAGGACTCCTGTGATTCAGCCCCAGCCTAGCTTCCCAATCTTCTTCCCTTTCTTCTCTTATTGTTCATTCAAAAGTGAGGGCTGGCGGAACATGACCCTAACTTCTATGCTGATAGACTTCTACAGAGAATGCCCGTCCACAGCTCTTCAAGTTCTACACATCCTTGAAGGTCCAACTCAAACGCTATCTCCTCTGTGAAAATCTGATAGTTCTAGGTATGGCAAAGCTCACCATCTTCTCCCTACCTCTAGCACTTAGCTTGAGCCTCTCTTAGTCACCTGATACTAGGGTTACCTGTGTGGTATCACATCTAGTAGGCATATGCCCAAATACAGATTGTTAACTTTTTGAGAGTAGTTTCCACCTTTTACCGCAGTGTTCCCTATTGTACCTACCATTGTACATGAAACATAAAACTTTAACAAATGCCCTTTAAATGAATAGCTGATTTTTAGTCACTACTCAAACAATAAAAACAGTAATTCCCAAACTCATAATCCAAACCTAGAACAAAGACGGCAGAATAAATACAGTGTTTTTTCAGATATCGGTTTGTAAAAGAAACTCCTGGAAAGCCTGTTCAAAATACAAATTTCTAGGCTCTACCCTCAGACAGATTGGTTCAGCAGAAGTCAAACCTGAGCTTGAATTCTTAGCCCACGTGATGTTGAGGGAGATTTGTGGAAGGTTTATGGGCAATATTTTGATACTTAGTGACATTGAGCCTTCTTTACACATATGAATTCCAAGGAAAATCTCTTTTTTTAAATCACGCATCTAAGAATTTTAAGTTTCTTGACTTTAATGCCAAAGCATCGAGTGCAGCAGGCCTATACAAAGAACCACTTTAACAATACATACCCAGTCTGGCACCTTACTAGCTTAGGTTGCTGGGAATATGGCATCACACCCCATTCTTTGTAATCACAATCTGCACACATTTTTCATCTACGTATCCTTTTTCTGAACTATTTAAAATTTAATTTGCTACAAATAGCCCTTTTTCAGGCTACCTTACCACAAGAGGTATGCTTTAAAATAACTGAAGGGCACAAGACTCATACCTCGGTCCCAGAGGCTGGCTCGTAAAGCTCTCTCAAGCTGTTCTTCTTCACTCAGTCCTGCTGTGTACGTGTCATAGTTCCTGGGTGCTTCTTCATAGTGACCCGGCCTGCCATGCGGGTAATAATCCTGATATCCAGAGCTGCCTACAGGCACAAGGAAAAGGTTCTAGAACACAGCTATGGACTCTTGTTTTATACTTCTTGTTTTGTATAAGCAAAGACAAGCAAGTAAGGCACAACATTATTTTAGGTATAATAATTATCCTCAAAATAAGAAAAGATGCCAAATGGTGATCGCCTTGTCACTGTATCCTCAGTGCCCACCATGGAGCTGGACACGATTGAGTCCTTATGTGCTAAAGAGGAAAGGAGATATTAATTCAGAGGGTAGTCAGAAGTCCTGGGGAAGAGACTGGAATGAGCTATTGACATATGGAGTGGATTCTTTCAGCTTAGAGGTATTCAATACTTGGAGAGTTTTCAGTGAACTCCTGGCTTGAGTCAAGAGAATGGTGGAAACAATAGCTAATAAAGTCTTAATGTCTTGTTGCTCTGTACAATGAGGGGCAGACCAATGTTTCATACAGATCCCACAGAATACTTCAGACAATAACAACATTAAGATGCAGCCAGTTTCTCTGTGATTGTAATTCTATGTCAGAGATTATAGTTCCCCCCAAAAAATGGTTTCTAGATAAAACAAGAAAGAAAATACAACTTCAAAAAAAAGAGTTGCTAGATAAAACAAGAGAGAAGAGACAACTTGGTCGTTAAGTAATGCTTTAGGTACCAAACTTAGGTACTCTATTAATAAAGGTCAATAACAGAAAAGTTCATTTTTGCAAGATATTTCCATTGATCTTTTCAGTTTGAGTTTATTCCTTACATTTTCTTTAACTGCCAATAGAGAATTTGTTTGGAAGAGATTTTTGTTCCCCACAGAAGGTTACCAATCTCAGTCTGATTTTTTTCTCTTCTTTCCTGCCATTATTATATTCTTTGAAGTTGATGTTTCAAATATTTAAATAATGTGGTTTGGATTGTTGATGAAGATTCCTAACCTTTACTATGAGTCTTTGTGACAGATCTCCATATTATCCCACAGTACAGCAGTACAGGCCTGAGTTAGAGCTTTAATAAGGCTACAGAAGAAAACACAATCCAGTCAAAAGAGGAACACTGAATAGCAGAATCTCATTAATTGAGATTTCATGCTCAGAATTTTTGATAGTTGGTCCTGAGGCTATTTAAAATTTACTGTTGTATTGTTTATGAATATTTACCTAATATGCAAAGATTAAAAGGGAAACTGTTAATCAGCACTCTAGTAGACTTCATTTTCATATAAACAACGAATGACAAAACACACTAGTTTCAGTTGATAGCCTAATATAATTATGTTTATATAAATATTGGTCATGAAAAGTAATTGTGTCTATGGATATTTTTAGAACAGCTTTATTGAGATATAATTGACATCCATACAATTTATCAATTTAGAGTATACAACTCAGTGGTTTTTAGTATATTTTAGAGTTGCATCATCATTACCACAATCAATTTTGGACATTTTCATCACCCCCCAAAAGAAATATGTACTCTTTAGCTAACAATCTTCACCCACCCATCCCTTCTCCAGCTCTAAGTAAGCACTAATCTACTTTCTGTCTCTACAGAATATGCCTATTTTGGATAGCTCATATAAACAAAATCATGTAATATGTGGCATTTTGTGTCTAGTTTATTTCACTTAGTATATTTTCCAGGTTCATCAAGTTTGTTATATTTATCGGTACTTCATTCTTTTTTTATGGGCAAATAATATTCCACTGTATGGCTTATACCACATTTTGTTTATCCAATGTCAACTGATAGACATTTGTATTACTTCTACCTTTTGACTATTATGAATAATGCTGCTATAAACATTTGTGAGCAAGTTTTTATGTGGACATACGCTTTCATTTCTTTTGAGTATATACCTAGAAGTGGAACTGCTGCATCACATGGCAATTCTGTTTAACTATTAGAGGAATCACCAGAATGTTTTCCAAAGTAACTATACCATTTTCTATTCCTACAAGCAGTGTATGTGGGTTCCAATTTCTCCACATCCTCACTAACACTTGCTATTATTTGCCTTTTTATTCACAAACATCCTAGGGCATATGAAGTGGTATCTCACTGTGGTTTTGATGACTAATAATGTTGAGTGTCATTTTATGTGCTTATTGGCCATGTGTATATCTTATTGGAGAAATGTCTATCTAGATCTTTTGTCCATTCTTAGTGATGGTGATAAAACTCTTCTAACTTGATTCTATTTTACTGAATGTCCTTGAAAGTAAAAGAAAAAGGAATGATTTAAATAAACATTAAATAAAATTGTTTAGGATTTTGGAGACTAATCCTGAAAAGCCTTGCCCCAGTGCAGTAAACATTAATGAGAATTTACTAAATACCTCTAATAACCCAACTTTCATATTTTCTCTCACCTGTTTCCCATGTTAAAATATTAACATTATTTATATTTAAAACAAGAAAAGGAGACAAGTACATTTTCCAAATCCTCACAATAGCTTAAAACTGAACTTGGATCTTACCATTTTAAATATGAACCCTTATTCTTAAACTGGTCTCTATCCAATAGAATCAGAAAAATTCAGCCCCCATTGCTGCGTTGGGGAACACTCAGCCAGCAAGAGTAAAGGAGACCATGGTAGTGTTTTTACAAATCTTATTTCTCATTCCTTATCAAGAAAAAAAAAAAAGACCTTTCACGTGAGGACAAATGGTAAAAACACAATTAATATATCTTCTCCACAAAGAATCAAAGAAAGTGGCAACCATTCTGCAACACTAATAGAATATTTATAGAGACGTCACTGAATAGCACGGGATGCTTCAGCAATCCCTGCATAGAGAAATGGCCCAATTCCCTAAGAGTGCCAATTATTTTACTGGAATACAAAAAGTATATTGGGTAATTTCCCACACGGCTCATTATCACTTACAAACCCCTGTGGAAAGCCATTCTGTTATGTAAGATCTAAGCAGCATTTCTACCTATCCACCCCCAAAAATGCTCAGTTAATTCAAGAGCCAAAATAACCCAAGGTCTCTGAACATTTGCTCACCACATAGAAATTATACATCTACACAGAGTTTTAATTGCCAGATACACATGCGATGATTTGAGGCAACATTTTCTTGATGTAGAAAAACATTTTTCTTCATGCTATTTCTTATTTTAAAATAATCTAGCAGTTCTTCAATGAAATAAAGTCAACAACTCTAAACATCTGAATATTATAAAAACAAATTTGGTATTTGTCAGACAAAACATGAGGAAAGAAAATGGGAACGTTTTGGTGCCTTAAATCAGAAAGACCAGTGTGGTTAAACGTTCTACATCATCGATCATAAATCATCAACAGGACCCAAAATCTCATCAATATCTATTATCATGAAAACAGGTCTCCTCCCATAGGACCCCAAATTTTCTATGGCTGTTTCACTGGCCCAATGAGATGTTTTAAAATCTTCATAATAAACATTCTTGGAAAAACCTAGCATCAAACAAATAAGATAAATAAATTTAAATTATGTCCTGAGAGGAATACTAATTTTTTTTTTTTTTAGTTGCATACTTAGGCTCTGTAGTAAAAGAAAATCTGGTTATCATTATTCTATTAACTACTCCATCTGTTCCTTATACACATACCAGGATTTCATGGCAAAGGAGATCAAGAAACACCACCAAGATTAGAAAAATTGGTAACAGCTTTTTAAACATTCATGAGGTTCTTCAACCTATAAAGACTTTTCCAGCTAAGGATAGCCATATTAAGAATAAATCATTACTTGTAAGATATACATATGCTCTCATAAAAGTTCCCTAGATGACCATTAGCATAGCCACCTGGCCTTCTGTAGCTCTGCCTTTGAAGAAATCCAATCACTTCAGAGAAAGGCATATAACTATGGTAATCTTACAGAGGTTAAAAGAGGTAAAAAGGGCTTTTTATTTTTTTTGCCCTTAATTCTCTGGTCTCTGTGACTGTGCTTCTTCCATATAAGAAGGAAAGAAGCTGTTCTCTTCAGTTCTCTTTTTTAAAAAATAGAAAATAAATGGGTGCAAAAGAGAGAGAGAAAAGACAGTAAGTAGAACTGCCCTATTTTGTAAGGTTAAATTGACAGAGTGTCAATCTCATATCCTTACGCAGTAGAAAAGGCAGGAGCTAGCAATAAGATTCTATTGGAACACACCCATACCCACTTGTTTATACATTGTCTATGGCAGCCTTCATGCTACCAGGACAGGTTAACTAGTTGCAGCAGAGACTATATGGCCAATAAAGCCCTTACTGCCTGAAATATTAGCTGTCCGGTCCTTTAAAGAAACCGCTGCTAGTCTCAGCTTTAAGCTATAGTGGTCCTCAATTAATATAAACAGAAACACATCTTAGTCCATTTGGGATGCTATAACAAACAGCCATAGACTGGCTGGCTTAAGCAACAGAAATTTCTCACAATCTGGAGGCTGGAAGCTTACGACGCCAGCATGGTCAGTTCTGGTGAGGACCCTCTTCCAGGTTGCAGACTGCTGACTTCTTGTATCCTCATGTGGCAGTGAGGAGGCCAGAGAGCTCTCTGTGGTCACTTTTACAAGGACATTAATCCCATTCATGAGGGCCCTACCCTTATGACCTAATTTTTTCCTCAAATCCCTACCCTACTAAAATCATCACATTAGGGGTTAGGATTTCGACATATCAATTTGGGGAGGGGCACAATCAGTTCATTGCATTAAGACATGAGTGTCCCAATGGCCATGGCTAACACCTGGCTGCCGGGCCTGATCTAAGATACTACCATGTAGCCACCCCAGACTGGAATGCAAAGGCTTTAGCCTAAAATAGGTCTTATGCTTTTAACAGCAGGTCCTTTCTATCTATTTACACAGACACTTAGAAAAATACATTCTTCCTCATTAAGTCACATGGCATTTATTAGCAGCATGCCTATTTTAGCATCTTAGGGTATGCGAGGGTTTCCTGAATATACATGGGATGGGCTGTGGAGAACTATATACCTAAAACCAACTTCTAACACTTTCCCAGCAGTTGAGTCTCAGACTGAGACTCGAAGCACCAAGGTCTAATATGAACCTTATCACACGAGAGACCTCATATCAATCATACCATGTTTTCATGTCTGAGTTACCTCCTTCCCTGGCCTTCCGTACCAACCCACACAAATATGCTCCCTAGGTTACCCCTCCAACTAGCTTCCAGGCGTGTTAGAGGCACAGTTACATAACATGTGAATGACTCCACCACAGCATCAACTAGCAGTATCCTAAAGTACTCTGTAGAGCTGAACACTATAATTTTAAAAATAAGTCAAAATTTATTAAATGAAATAAACTGCTTACCTGAACTATTAAAGTAGTATTGCTGTCCTGGGTAACCAACATTGGAGGAAAAACCACCTAAATGTAAAAGAAATAAACATTTTAATGGCAGCTATAAAGTTTTAAATGCTAATTGTTCCAGTCATTAGGAAGTTCTCTGGGACAAAGCCCAAGGTCATTTCAAATGATTTCTAAACACTTATTAAAATCAACTCCCTTTTGTTTGGGGGTCAGCCCGACAGGGAAAAGAGTGTGTGTGTGTGTGTGTGTGTGTGTGTGTGTGTGTGTGTGTTTGGGGGTGGGGAGTGGAAAATGAAACCCTAATTTACACTCACTGAAGTTCCTTAGTCTTTGCCTCCAAAGTACCAAGGCTCAGCTTTGATGCCTCTGTCTAAGCAGAGACGCTCCGGCTAAATGGAGAAGCTTCCTCAAACAAGGGTGTTAGGAGAGGCACGCTCCTTCCCCTTCCTAGGGGACTTTACCCTTTCTTGTCCCTGTAGAAGGCAGTAGGACTGTCTACTCAGTCAATTTGGCACGGCTGAATGAAGTGAGGGAGGGAGGGCCAAGGACCACACCCTCAGGGCGACCCTCCTCTTCAGCAGGCATCAGACGGCAGCTTCCACATGCTGGGTCATTTTCCATGGGGTTCCTGTGTGCTTCAATTCTCAGCTCGCAGAAAAAAGGCCGAGTTTGCAGGCTATTTGCAAACTGCACTGAGTGTTCTAATTTTCCTATTTAATTTTCTATCGTATTTATTACTTTGAAAATAGAGTGGTGTAAAAACAAGTCTCCATTCATTTTTTAAGGCTTTTAAAACTAAGAGTTTAAATATTATAATTATGGGGAAAATCCTGTTTAAAAATTAAAGTACTTGCTTAAATTTCATAACATGTCTGCAAAAAGCTTTACTAACTGCTTCATCATGAGACACAGAAAAAAGAAACAAGACATTAAACTTACGAGAATCATCTCTTTTATCAGTACTAATGAGTATTAAATTATATTGAAAACATAATAAAACTGGACATTTTCCATAAATGAAGTTCCCACTGCCTCCTCTAAGTACATACAGCGGAAGCACATTAATAAGCCAATGCGGGAAAATGAGAATCTGCTTAGATGCAACACAGCCTGTAAAAATCAACCAAAAGTGAACACGACCTGATAATAAAGGTGCCAGTGCAGTGCCTGGAAAGCTTTCTAATATCATGAATATTATATGGTTCTCAAGAAAACCAGTCATCAGCACAAACTGTGAAAAAATTATTTATGGTTCAAGAAAAGGTAAAATAGTCTCAGAAGCTCTGCCATGAATAAAAGATGAAATAGTGGAACTCACTCTGTAAAACAAGTGTTTGTAAACCAGTTTTCTTACAAGTCAAACTGAGAATCACATTTAAAATTAAGAGGTCTAAAAAATACAAGTATTTCTAAATGAAATATTTTCACTGAGTATCAATTTGAAGGGAGAAACAAAATTTTAAAAAGCAGGAGCCAAGCTTCAAGCAGCAACAGACTTGGTTTGGCCATGCATAAATATATGGCTCATCTACCAAGGACCTGGTCATCAGTCTGAATTCTTTAAAATACTGGCCATGCACTTCAGTCCAGGCTTCATTTTCTTTTTCAACTCTGCCTTGCACGTATATTAATTCACGGACTATTACAGAAGAATGCATTCTTTTAAACGCACTTTAGTTCTCTGCATTCTTTAGGAAATCATGGTTTTCTGCGGGTAGCATTAAGGTTGAGGGTATAAATACATACTGATATTTGTCCCCTAAGAAAGTATCAGATTCAAAATTTAAGTGTGCAGCCTCTTTTGTGGAGCAATGTAAGGAATTGCACTGGTTGTTTTACCTTTTGGTTTAAAAAGAAAAACAGGCATATTAGGGAATTCCTGAGCTGAACCACAGGGAAACTTGGGGTTGCTCCTGTTCGCATTAAAATGAAGATGAAAGTCCAGCTTGTTGTCATGCCAAAGGTGTTTTACTCTGTACCTGCACATGCTTCCATCATTTTCTTCAGAGGCCCTTGAGTGTACATTAGTCCAACAAGAATCCCAGCCAGATGCCCAGCGAAGGAAGTCCTAAGAGGGAAGGAGACCCTTTGTAAGTGTTTGTTCTGCTGCTGATCAGAGACGTTCTGTCTCCTCATTAGCCCAGTGCATGTCAAGTAGTCACAGTCCACAGGCTTTGTTCCACATCACGTCTTTTATGATAAGCTGCATTTAACTCAGTCCAAAGAACAATATTTCCCACCTTAAAAAAAAAAGGCACAACGAGTAACCACCACCACATGTTTAAAATGCAACAGCCCTCCTTAACCAGGGGAAGTGGGTTGGCTCCTGCAGGGCAGCGGAAGCATTTTGTCAAGACAAGTCACTACACTGCTTTCTGTTTTTCTCTGTACCTCTTATCACAAAACATACATGGAATCAGTTTTCTGTGTTTGGCATTACATCTGGAATTATCCAGCCACTGTGAGGGATGATGTCTATCTGTGTTACGGCAGGGCAGACTGCTGCAGTTTTCTACACCATGGATGAGTGAAGCAGAGAGCAAGTGAAACTCAGCAAAAGGAACTGAGATGCCCACCTGCATCCACCAAAGTTGTCTTCATATTTATCTTCCAGTCACTCAGAACAAAGAAACACACATTTAAATTTCAAACTTGAAAGATGAGTTAGGGCATGAAAGTGTTTTGAGTTAGGGCATGAAAGTGGTTTAACTCTTCTTAAACTGTCATCTAAAAGTGGCAATCATTTATAAAATTTATTTTCAGAGGTCTACTTTGACCCAAATGGCAATACTCTTTGCAGAGTTCCCTGGCTGAATGACCTCCCACCCAGCCTGAGTTTAAGAAATTACTGGGGATTCTCAAAAACCTCTGCATGTTACCACAAAAGCGGAGTTTGGGGGGGGGGGTCCTACACAACGAGCTGTTCTTTATGCACTTGACCTCCATTTCCAGCTGCCCGCCGCCCTCTAGACACCCCCACGCACACATGCACACATCCACTGACACCTTAAACTAGGCTTTTCTGGTGTGCCACTCCCACTTCCCCTTTGTAATGCCTCTCATACCCTTCCCAGCCTTCCCATTCCTACTGCCACAACCACGCTTACTGCCATCTGAACTATTTGGAAATGCCCAGTATTGGGCACAGAGTGAACCCCAGATGAATGTGCGTTGAATGAGTAAAATAAATGAAAGAGAATCATCCAGCTGGTCTCCCTGCGAGCCGGCTCTTGCTCTCCAGTGCATCCGACACACAGCCATCAGTTACCCTCCTAAGGCAGAAGGCAAGTCGTGTCACTGCCATCCTCTGAAATCCACTGGCTCTCACAGAATACTCCAGTGTGTGTTCAAGCCCTTCCAACACTTGGCCTTGCTCATCTCTGCAAAGTCAGAGGGTGGAGACCCTCATTGTCTACTACATCCATTCCCACACGCCCCACTGTCACATCCCCCAAGCACTCTCTGGCCACAGGCTAAGCCAAACGGCACCTCTGTCAAAAAATCCCACCCCAGTTGAAGAGTCGCTCTTTCCTTCTCCTGCCTCCCCTCAGAGCCGCTGCTCCTAATTTATTATGGCACGAAGCCAGTCTGCTGGTGGCAAAGTGCTTACACGTCTGCCTGCCCGTTTGTCTCTCTCTGTTACACACAAACTCCCTGAGGGCAGCAATGGTATCTCATTCATACATTACACAAAATTAGAAGCTTTAAAAAAAAAAAAAAAAAAAGCCAAGCAAATGAATGCATTCCCACAGCCTGGAATAGTGACCTCTCATTCCAGAAGGTGGGAAACTGAAAGTTATGAAAGAGCCTGATGGAGACTCCAAGAGCATAGCCTTTACGTGGCTTTCACACATGTATTCCAAACACCCAGGACAGTGCAGGCACATGAGAGGCTCTCAAGGATACGTTGAGTAAATGGCTCAAGTGTGCCAGGACCGTTTCACCAAGACCATCAGGAGGTAAGTTAAAACCACTAGATCTTCAGCTCAGGGTGCTTGCTGAGCCATGGCAGTCACAGAGCTAAGAATCCACCATTTGGTAACCTACATGAGACTCAGAGTCAAAACCAATACATTTCGCCTACTATGGCAGCAGCCTAGGGGAGAGCTCCTGAAACACCACAAGCAAGATGGTTCTGAGTAATTTTCATTGTCTCCAAGCTATGAAAAGACTGGTTGGCTCTCAGGAAAAGAACATGCAGTGAAGAACACTTGAAAGAGACTAACAGGAGTCTTGTAAAGAGAACAGCATCGATTCTTATTCCCATTAGCTGATTAAATGACACTATTGCCCAAACAAGCCCTCATATACATGCACACGTGCTAAAAGTCATGGCATATGCACGTGCGTGCACACACACACACCCCACATAAACGATCATTCCCTCAGGAGGGCATTATTTTCATCAAATATATCTACTGAAACAAGAGTTCCCTGACCCCCCTTGCAGGATGTGCCACAGGGGTGTGACTTGTCTGTTTGGCGGCCGTGTCTGCTTAAACCCCTTACAGGAAAGGGAGCACACTGATGGACAGGTGCAGGGGCTGGGATGAGTGCTCCTAGGCTTCAGCCCCACGGCAATATCCAGGGGTGTGTATCTGCGACTCCTGAAGCCCAAGTGGGTGTGTGTTACGCGTACTCTTTTAGCTTTGCCATCCACAGTCGGCTTAAGTGTTAGATAGCTCAGTGGACCCTCTGCCTTTTCAAAGGATGAATGTGAAGCTTTTATTGGGTGATGGAGGTGTCTCAGTGGGACTGATGGGGAGCTGGAAGAGGGATGGAGTGGGAAGATGGTCTTCCCCTGGAGTTCGGCTGTCCAGTGACATATCTCCTCTCCGATCGTCCCCAGGTAAACTCCTCTCGGCATTCCGATGCTCCTCTTCACTCTGTTGCGCCATTCCCCTATTCTTCTGCTCTTCTGTTCATCTCTTTGTCTCCTTCTGGAGCCTGGGGTCTCAGGTTTATATGGGTAGAGGAGAGCGGGGCATGGTGGGCCAAAAGGCAGTTATTGGGTGCAAAAAAGGAATGCCTGTTGCCATTCAGCGCTGTGGGTTTCCAGGCTTGATGGTGGGGCCTTTGCTGGGAACTGCCTTCTTCTATCCACTGTTTCTGTCTCCTGTCCATGTCACTACTTCATATATAATAAAAATATGGGATTGAACATTTTTTTCCCATTTTCTGGCAAGAATAGTAGGAACTATACTTTTAGCTCCCCAACCATGCTAAAAAATTGTATAGTAGTCCCCCATTATCTGCAGACCCCCAACTGGATGGCTGAAACCATGCATAGTACTGAACCTTATATATACTATGTTTTTCTGGTCTCATAATCATAACGGCTACTAACTGACTCACGTGTGGGTAGCACAGACAGCATGGACTCACAGGGCAAAGAGATGATTCATGTCCTGGGTGAGACAGGGTGAGATTTCACCATGCTATGCAGAGCAGTGTGAAATTTAAAACTTATAAATGGTTTATTTCTGGAATTTTCCATTTAATGTTTTTGGATCAAGGTTGACTGGGGCTAACTAAAAACGCAGAAGGCAAAAATCACAGATAAGGGGGACCACTGTACTTATTTTATTCTATGCTCAGGCTCAGTACAATCTGCCACCTATTAATAGCTCTAAAAATGACAAAGAAAGTGGCAGTTTGAGAGATACAAAGAAGTGGCCAGGACCAGTTAAAAATATAATAATAACTTCAATTTAGATGAAAAGAATATAATAATATCAGTATTTCTGAAACTCTGGTTTCAAATCAACCTTCATGGTGAAGCATATATGATAGAAAATAACATAGAAGGAAATTTCAATTTAAAACTTCAACCTATTAGACAATTAATCTTGAATCTCATTTACAATATTGAGTACAATACAGTGAAATGAATTTCTTATCTATCTCTAAATGGTTTTCAGAAGTTTGAGTTATAATCTAATTGCCCTAATATAATTTCAAATACCTAGGGAAGGGAGGCTGGCAGTCCAGAGAACTCACTGCATCACACTCCAACATTCAGCATTTTCCACCTGTGTTCCATCTCAAAACATTTAACTGGTCTTGTTTCACTTAAGCTCTATAAAAGTGTTCCTATTTAAAATAAAAATGAGATTATGATCTCATTCAATCAAAACTGAGAATCTCTCAACATTACACACACACACACACACACACACACACACACACAACAGGAGAATGAATTTCACCAAAGTAAAAGGAATATAAAACTCATTTTAAGAGGTAAATTAACTTTCTCCATGCTCTTGGTAACCATTTGACAAATCACTTCCCTTCACCCTCTAAAGATACCCACATGCTGAGCGAAAAGACAGATGGACCTGCACACGGGGAGAAAACTGAACTGGGAAGGTGGGTCCACCAGTCCTAGGGTTAGGGACTTTACCCCTGAGTTGGGGGTGCTGTGGAGACCGAAAGAAGCCCTGGGCTTTGGAGGAAGACGACCCATCTGAATGCGCTGATCAGTGGCTGGGATCTACCTTCAAACGTAACAGCATCAAAACCAGATTGGGTTGTCACAACCATAATTAGACGTGCTAAACAGAAGTTGTGAAGCTTGTGGTCTCTGAATAAGCCTGTGGCTTCATTCTGTTCTTAGCTATACGTGGAAGTTGCCATCTGAAGCAGCATGCAGGGACAACCCTGCCACTAGGAACAACTTCCTCTTGACCTTACTAGGTCTTAGGCTAGGACTGGGGATTTGGTTATGACCTACCACCCTCTATCCTATTCAGAGTAATTCTCTCTGGGACAGGACCACCACCAACTCTACATCCATGACCACAGCCGCTACAGTAAACAGCCTGACACTAACACTCAGTACATAACTACCAGATGAGAGGAAGAGTGGAATTTAAATTACGCATAAAACACATGTATCTAAAATACACTGTATTAAAAAAATCACAAGTTACATTTGTATGTCTTTTTTAGAAAAATGTCTAGTCAAGTGCTTTACTCATTTTTCAATTGGGTCATTTGTTTTATTGCCACTGAGTTATAGTTCTTCACATATTTTGCATATTAGTCCCCTATTGGATATATGGT